ATTAAATATTCAAAATCTTTGTATCTGGATTAAGTTAGGTTTTAGCGGTGCTCCTAAGGATCCCGTTGTGTCTATTGGTCCATAATTTCAGAAGTTTATAAACTATTTTGAGTAGTAACCTTCCTGATCTTCCTGTCAAACAGCAATCCACAGCTGCTCTAGTAGCAGCTACTCTGTATTCAGAGTAGCCGGCTTTATTAAAGAAACTATGAAATGATCTTGTACACAATGAGTAGTTGTAAAACACTACTTTATTTAGTATTCTTCTGTGCTTTATATATTTTGCCAGGGTGTTTCAACGCGGCGTATGAGCCTAAATAAATACTATTAGATGAATTAGAATGAATTAATGAGATATATGTTGCGGCGCATGTGTCTAAAAAAACACTGATGAGATGAACTCATACTTGAGTTCTTAATATATTCCCGTTAATTTAATTTATCAATTGGTTTCTACAGTTTTAATTGAATTTAAAATGAGTTAATTTATACTAAAACTTTTTACTAAATTTTATTATTATTCTTTACCTTAAATTTTTTTTTGAAAGCTCGGTATTATGAGTTTATTATCGATAAATAATTAAAATATTTTGATATTAACATACAAATAAATTTTCATTGGCTAACAATTTAAAAGCACTATGTAATTTTGAATTAATTTTTAATCACACAAGTTTAAATACTATTTAACAAATTCACTAATATCGCAACAACAAATTTTGGAATGAATATTTAAGGTCTGGAATTTTCATGAAAATTAGTTAAAAAGCTTTTATGTTTAAATTTTTAATGTATTGTTTTTTTATACCGAACTCCCTTGGGTATTTTAAAAAGCAATTTCTGTTTTGTATAATGAGATTGCTTTTCATATAATCCCGAATTTCAGTTTTATTTCAAAATATCGGGAATAACTCTTTCGGCAAGTGAATCTATTAAAATGTAATTAGACTTCTCATGCGTAAATATTACGAAATTGGAATGTTTGCATAAATGTATAAACACGGCATTGATATCTAAAATAAGTTCCAAATCAATAAGATATCTACATATCATATCACAACATTTACATACGAATACACCTACCCATTTGAAAGATAATAATCGCATATTTAATCGGAAAGCATAAATAAAAATTTGCTCACATATGCGCTAGCAGGTAATGTATCTACATAGGCATTACTACGAGTAGATGAAACACCGAGACAGAAAACCAATAAACAATGAAATAAATAGCAAAAAATAAGTTATGCAAAGTTTTCCCTTCTATCTACACATACACATACACATTCGCATTTTTCTCTTTTTGTTTTTAGTGAATAATTTTTGGCAAAAAAACAATTTGCATATAAATGACAAAGGAAACGGAAATAGATAGGAAGATGACTAGGAAACTGGCAAGGAACTAAAATTCACATAAATTTGAAATTTTCTTTTTAGTGCAAAACCGCCCCAAAAATAATATCCATACATAAAAATAATAAAAAATAACATAGAAATAAAAGTAAATATAAGAGAAAATCTTTGAGAACCACAGTAGGGCAGAGCGTTGGTGGAAGGAAGATTGTTAGACGTCATGCACGCAAAAAGTAATCACGAAGCAAACTGTGCGCCTTACTATATGCTATAAATTTTGTGAGAAACGAAGGAAAGTTCTTACAGATATCGGTTGCTTGTGATATGAGTTCTAATGAGTGCTGATATATATAATAGATAATATATATATATATATATGTATGTATTTATGATACATAAATGTTTATTACTTTGAAAGCGAGATAGTTTAAAATTTTGTAGATTTTTTTAATTTAATATGGATATTATTTTTACTACTCGATAATTTTCAATAGTAAATAAAATTATACATAAAATAATACTCAATCAAAACTCATATTTAAGCATATATGTAAGACATATTTTTAAAATAAGTTTTAGGTTTTTGTGTGTAAATATTATAAAACATGTGTACATATTTTGCATGTGCTCTTCACTTTTTGTGATTTGAATACCCAAAAAAATATCTTTTGCTTTCTGTGTTAATAAAAGTATTTCTATTATTTGCAAATACTTAAGAAATATGTAGACCATTATAAAATATCTTTTGCTTTCTGTGTTAATAAAAGTATTTCTATTATTTGAAAATACTTAAGATATATGTATACCATTATAAGCTGTAAAAGGATTTATTGCAAGAGTGCAATCTAAATATAAAAATATTTCAAACGATATGGCGATAATAAAAATAACTTTTATGCAGCCATATTTTTTAACTAACAATATTGGATTTTCTGATCTACTCAGTTTGTAGTGAAAATTTCAACTGCAAATAATTGCTAACATAAAATAAAATATAGAAGTTTTATTATCTTTTAACAGAGATGCTGTACTTAATAGCCATAATTACCATTCACAACAGCTACATTATTCTTATCCTACCCTAATCACTAGTAGCCAATCAATATTGCCAAAATAAATGAGAATATGCATAAGGTGCCAGGACTCTTCCTGCAGTCTTGCATACACAAATAAATTCATAGACATTTATCACCTTCCGAACCTTAACCAAAGCCACGAATTTGCAGTAATTTTTTAAGCAAATTATAATAAATTACCTTAATGAGACATTAAGTGAAATTTACTTTAGGTAATCTAAGCCACTACAAGCTGCTTCAACCTTTGCTGTTAAAGCAGCTAGGATAAGGTAAAAAATTAACAAAAAGAAAAGATATATATAAACGAAAAGTAAACTTAAAATAAAGAAATATAAAAGCAGTTTTATCATTATTATATCCATTTCGTCATTCTCACGGTCATTCAACATAATCCGCAAACTGGGACTGCAACCGTTATAGACTTCAACATGAACATTTCATATTAAAGTGAGGATAGCATTCTGACGTTTACTCACTTATGCTGTGATGGTAACACGTTCAAGGACCAAATCGAGTACTCCATCATTATTTGATGCAGTTTAAGTATGGAAAGCGTAAAGTACGAGTAACACAAAAATTTGACTAAGTGCAAAGGATAATAATATTGTAATAATAACAGAGATAATAACTTTGATAAAAAAATATTTCAAATAACTCACGCATCGCACTGTGAATATTTTTCTCTTTTATTTAAGGATACACTCGCATATCTTCGTGACATACTTTCATTGGCAAATAGCATTAAAATTACTGTTTGTTTAGTGATGAATGATGATGAATCATACAATACAAAAAAAAGTAATTGAATAAATCCTCAATACAATATAAGTGGCCTTTTTAAATTAAACTGGGTGCTTGTGTTTACTGAAACACTGACTACTTTTTTATAAGGACATCATTTTCTGTTTAAATATTTATTGATTGACATTTTTTTTACTTTACTTAGCTGCTGGCGTTTTATTCCGATAAAAACAAGCACAGTCACTTGATTAAAATGGATGACTGATGCTTTCAAACGAATAATAAAAAAAAAACGTCAAAATTTGCTTTTCATGTTATATATACATATATATCATAATAAATAGTATATGTATATAGTAAAAGTATATAGTATATAATCATTATTAAAGTATAGTATATAATCATGAAAAAGTATTTATTATTTAAGTAAATTTTCACGACTTAATTTCAAGCCAAATAGTCGTTTTTTTACAAAATCACTACTTATAACTAAAAATAAGGAGATATATATTATTGTATTAGTTACTATAATAATTTGTGATACTGACAAAAGAAAAAGTGAAAATTGCAAGCTCTTGACGGTTAACATCACACCGATAAAAAACCAAAAAGCGATGTGTTGTGTGCCTTGTTACACATCCCTATTAAAAAGCATATGTCTTTCACATCCATGTCATCCATGTCTTCAAAAAATAAAATTGGTTGTCATACGATTGTATTGCTCTGTACTACCACGGGAAAAGGATTTGATTATTCTTGAGGTTAGGCATGACTGTCATAAAAAGCGACTAAAATCCAGTAGACACCACCTAATACTGCATAAATGATGGTAATGAGTGAGTTTGATTTTTGGCATCCTATAATTGGTGTAAATCTAAAACCACGAAGTTTTGTG